TGCGTTATGCTAATCCAGCGCCAGCCCAGACCCCTCCTGCATATAGATGGGCGGCAGGGACAGCCTGGAAGCCAGCAGAGCCCTGGCTGCCCCAGAGCAGGGCGGATCCAGGCAGTCAGATCTGAGCGGTGTGTCCACCTGAACCCAGACTCAGTTGGCTGAGGCAGAGGGGGAAGAGACCTCGTAGCACAGCAGCGGTTCTTAGCCTGGGATACGGCCCCCAGGGGGCGGGGCATGTGAACCTCTAAAGTCACAGGCAAATCTATGCACAGGTCCCTTTTTCTAGGAAGGAGATCCATATGTCAATATTTTGTCGGATGCTCAGAAATGTAAGTCATACCGCTGGGCTCATCCAACCTCCCATTTTACAGATGGGAAAGCTGAGGCCCGTAGAGCAGTGAGTCTTGCCCAGCGTCATGGGATGAGTAGGTGTTAGTGATCTCTCTGCTTGTCTAGAGACCACACGGTTGTGAGCATAGAGAGGCCAGGCAGGTTACTGCGAGGGGACGTCTGGGTTCTCAGAGGAGGGGCCTGTCGGGGCAGGGGAGTGTGCCAGGGCAGCTGAGCAACCACAGCCCAGTGTGGCCAGGTCCTCAGGAGAAAACTTAGACTTTTTTAAAATGTGAAATTTGCCAATTTTAAAATGCTGATTTGTATTTTAAAGGCATGGGGTGGGGCACACGTAGCCCACGGACTACGGTTTGAGATCTTTGCTGTCTGCCTCGCTGAGATCCTCTCCTCCACTCTGCAGGCCAGGAAAGTGCCACTGTGGCCACTAACCCAGGCTCTCCCTCCACCCCTCTTGGCCGGAAGCATAAAGAGGATTGCGATGGGGGGCTGGTGCCCAGAAACCCACTCCAGTCGCCCTCAGTGCCCCGGGGCAAGCCTGCAGCCCTCTGACCGGGTGGCTCCTGCTTTCTGTTGTCAGTCCTGACTGAGTGGTCCGTCCCCAGTGACTGCGATTCCTTGCAGCAGATACATGTGTGTAAGCGCGCACACGCACACGCACAATCCATCTTCCAGCTCTGCCCAGGGGCTCAGCCGAGTGATCTTTCATAGCAACGGGAGTAACAGCCAACCAGAGTGGCTAGAACACATGTTGGGGGCTAGTGTGCCACTCATAACTGTGGCCTTCGGGACACTTCCCCTGTGTGTCTTGGTTCTCAGTGACTCAGGTGGGGGAACTTCAGGCACAAGAGAAAGACACACAAAGCTCGGCCAACAGGGAGATGTTTAAGGGAGAAGATGAGGGGAGAGGCCAGACCCCCCTTGCTTATTCAGTGATTGGTCCCTCCTAGCAAACATTCACCGTAGTGTTCATCTTCATGCAGTTAATTTATGTGCATGTAATGGTTCACACTCAAAACGTTTTAAATTAAAAATACAGTACAAGTAGACTTAAATATGTAGTCTTTCTTGTATACTACATATTAGAACATCCATTATACATTTATACATGTATATTACTGTATGGAGTTGTATACACACAACCATGTATACGGACTTGCTGGGTGATTTAAAGGCCCACCATGGGTAATCTTGACTGTACTGGAAGTTCACCTCGAGTACTAGCTCTAACCTCATGGGAGGTAAGACTCCACTGGACCTAATCCGGACCCTGTGCCAAGCACCCCATTGTGCCCTGGGGAGACAGACACAAATTGTGGATATTTTGTCTGTTGGGGGTAGCCATATAAGCACATGAGGAGACTATAAGATGGCCCATGCTACTCAGGAGGTATGCCCGTGGTGAAATGGCATCTGGGAAGCCTTCAGGGAGGAGGGGACATTGGAGCAATTTCTCAAAGGTGAGTAGGAGAGGTTATGGGCAGTCACAGTTTCAGACTTGCTCCTCATGGCTGGGGGACAGCCTGGGTTCAAGTTCTGGTTCTGCCACATACTAGATGCATGACCTTGGGCCAGTTATGTCACCTCACTGGACCTAACCTGCTCAATGGAAACTGTTGATCACCCACCAGCAGCCATCCCTGTCATCCTTGCTGGCTGGGCCTGATTTTTGTCCAGGGCTCAGGGAAGGATAACCCAGCTCTAGAGCCCTAGCCCCAGGCTCAAGGGGAGGGTTCTGGATGGTTTAAGTCATTCACAGGGGGCCAGTCCCCACGCCAGTGACTGATTCAGGCATCGCAATGTGCTGTGCTATTGGCACAGTTATCTACCGCAGCCAGCACTTTGGAAGGCCAAGGTGGGAGGATGACTTGAGGCCAGGAACTGAGACCAGCCTGAGCACCACAGCGAGACCCCATCTCTACAAAAAAACAGAAAAATTAGCTGGGTGTGGTGGTGCACACCTGTAGTCCCAGATACTCAGGAGGCTGAGGCAGGAGGATTGCTTGAGCCCAGGAGTTTGAGGTTGCTGTAAGCTATGATGCTGCCACTGCACTCCAACCTGGGTGACAGAGTGAGACACTGTCTAAAAAAGCAAAACCTAAAACAACAACAATCTTTGATTTTGCTCAATACATCTTTCATGGGGGCAAGAATTAGTGGGGACAGCTTGTCTCTGTTCCACATGGTGTCAGCTGGGGCGGTTTGACTGTGACTAGAGGATCCATTTCCAGGAAAGTTCACTCACGTGGCTGGAAAGTTGGTGCTGGCTGGAGGCTGGTCCCTCAGCCTAGACTGTGGGCCAGGGGTGTCAATTCCTCCTTACTTGGACTTCCTTAGCGCACAGCGGCTGGGTTCCAAGAGTGTCCCAAGAGACAAGAAGTAGAAGCTGACTGTTTCTTAAGGTCTGGGCCTTAAGAAACCAGCGCAGTGTCACTTTTGTCATAATCTATTGGTCAAGCAGTCACCTTGCTCAGATTCAAGGGAGGGTGTAGACTTCATCTCTCGAAAGAAGCATAGCAAAGGATTTAGGGGCCATGTTTTAAAATGGCCATAGCCAGTGAAACATGGGAAGAAATATGTGAGATTTCTGGGAAAGGTTTCTTCATTCTTAAAAAGAGACATAAGTTTACCTGAATCACAAGTGGGAAGCCAACATAAGAAATGAGACAATCCCAAGAAGAACGAGATGATCATGTGCTTGACCCTTCATGATTATGTCCCCAGTTTCATAAGATTCAGGGAAAGGAGAGGATCACTGTGACATCTTCCACAGTTGTTACATTTGGGATAATAACAAAGCATGCCTAAATTCCATATAATTTTTTATGACTTATACTTAAAATCCTGTAGGATTTCAATATTTGATGGGAAAACTCAATATCGTCAAGATGTCAATCCCTCCCAAATTAAAGCGTGTATTCAGTGCCATACCATTGAGATTGGGATTTATGAGCAGACTTTGAAGTTCCTCTGGAAAAGTCAACGTGAAAAATTAACCAGGAAAATTTAGAGAGAGAAGAGATGTTCTCACAGGATGCCAAATCACGTCAAAACGGATGTATGGTAGCACAAATTTTAATGGCAAGAAATTGAAAACAATTTGGATGTCCACCAACAAGGGAATAAGTAAAATGAAATAGAGCAATAGGTCTCAGCTTTGAGCACAGACCAGGATCACCTGGAGGCTGGTTAAAACACAGATTGTCCCAGTGTTTCTGATTCAGCAGGTTGGGGCAGGGGGAGCTCAAGGACTAACACGTTCCCACTTGCTGGTGGTGACAATGGTCCAGACTGTACTCTGAGAACCACTGAATTAGAGAATATTCTCAAACTGATCCGAACACGAGGTGTGTGAGCTGCAAAATAACACCATTAAAAAAAAGAATCCCTAAGGTCGGGCGTGGTGGCTCACGCCTGTAATCCTAGCACTCTGGGAGGATGAGGTGGGATGATCGCTTGAGGTCAGGAGTTCAAGACCAGTCTGAGCAAGACAGAAACCCCGTCTCTACAAAAAATAAAAAAATTAGCAGGGTGGTGGTGTGTGCCTGTAGTCCCAGCTATTCGGGAGGCTGAGACAGGAAGATTGCTTGAGCCCAGGAGTTTGAAGTCGCTATGATGAGGCCTCTGCACTCTAGCTGGGGCGACCGAGCGAGATACTGCCTTGAAAGAAAAAAAACAACAAAAACACCCTAAAACTAAAATGAAACCAACATAGGCATGTATATAATTACACTTGCGATGCCCAGAGCTGCCGTGACCACCTTGATCCTGATGTCAGGTTGAGGCCGATGGCAAGTGGAGGTGGGGCCATGAGACCCACAGGAAAGCAAAACCTAATGAAACTGTGCCTAGAGCCTGGAATATCCCTGGAATGTTCTTGTAATGTGAATTAATAAATCCCTTTATGATTTAAGCCATTTCTTGGTTGGGGTTTTCTGTTATTTATAGTCAAAACTGTCCAACTGCTGTAGTAATGACTATGCAGACTTCTTTGTAAAGATTGAACAAGATCATATAATGAGACTCTTCCTTGCAGCCACCATTTGCTATATTTATTCCAGAAAAGCCTTCTGAGCCAGGCCATGCGGTAGATACTGTCAGGAATTTGGCAGATTCCCTGACCTCCAGGAGCTCAGAGTCTGCAGGAGGAGCCAAGAGAAGCACAAAGAGGAATTCAGCGGCCCATGCAACTGGGAAATCTAGGAATGCCGCCTCAGGTGTGACAGGGTCCCCATTACTCAAATAATACCAACCAGCCTCTTTTTCAATGTGTCTCAGGACTCCTCTTTGTGAGGCAGTTGTATTCTTTCCTGCTGTGGAGGCTTTCCTCCAGGCAGTAGGAGGAGAACATGGATTGTTCGGCCATAAGCTTACATCACAGCATTGGAGCAAGCGTAAAGGAAAGAGAAGGCTCCTCTTTCTCTGCCTCCATATACAAAATCCCAGGGAAGGAATCTGATTGGCCTAGCTCGTGTCGTGTGCCCTTATCTGCGCCCGTCACTGTGATCGGGGGATGGGATACCACAGTTGGCCAACTATGTGTGATGTGTGGGTGTTTACATATATCCCTTACAATTGACAGTAGGCAGATAGATATCTGCATAACAATATTACCACAAACTCAGCAGCGTAAGATGCACATATTTATTATTTCACAGTTTCTGTGGGTCGAGAGTCCTGGAATGGCTTAGCTGGGCCCTCTGCAAGCCTGAAATCAAGGTGCGGGTCAGGACTGGGTCCCCATCTGGAAGGTTGACTAGGGGACAGATCCACTTCCAAGCTCCTGCAGCTCTTGGCAGAAGTTGGTTTCTTGCGCTTACAGGATGGGGGGCTCATTTCCTTGATAGCTGTCAGCCGTCCTCAGTTTCTAGGGGCTACTCTGATTTAGGTCCCAGCACGGCCACCTGCTTCATCAGTGCCAGCAAGGGCATGAGAGACTCCAGCCAGGTGGGTACTACAGTCTTGTGTGGTGGTAATCATATAATCACCTACACAGAATCACATGCATCCCATCACCTTTGTTGTATTCTATTGATTAGAAGCAAGACACAGGTCCTGCCAAGAGAAAGCAAAAAGGAGATGAGGTTATACAGGGGCATGAATACCAGAAAGTGGACATCGTGGGGCCGCTTAAGTGTCTGTCCATTTTATATATATCTATATCTATATATACATAGAGAGAAGATATATACATACACACGTATGTTTATTGAATAGTTTACATGACATATATATCATTGTTCTACACAAATAGTAGTAGCATACCATCAAACGTGACATTCCACTGTACTAGTTAGCATTCATTGCCAGGCTGCTATATGCCAATTATCCCCTTTAATGCTCACAACTCTCTCTGAGATAGATGCTATTTTCCATGTTTTACAGGTGAGAAAACTGAGGCTCAAGGAAATGAAGTGATCAGCTCAAGACCAAACATGTAATTTCTAGCAAGATGGATTTAAAGCTAAGTTGGTCTGACTGTCAGGCATCTACTTTTCTCCCCGTATCAAGATGCTAATGAACAAACCAAGAATCACCTCCTGGATGTTGTCTAGTGAAGCCAGCTGTCTCTGGGCTTGGACACAACTGTATCTATTCCCTCACTTTGAAGTCACTGTGTCTCTTACTCTCAGCCCTTCCCCAGTGACACTTGTGCCATTGAGCCCAAGTAAGCAACTATCAGTTTATATCCTTTCCCTGTGCCTGTATTTTTCTCTTTTCTTTGCCCCCATTCGAATGGGTAGTCAGTTGTGCACTCACTGCCATCATGTTGGGATGCAGCAGCCCACATAACAGAGGTGAGTTCCCCATCCTCCTGGCTTCTGTTTCCCAATGCCTAAGTCCCTAAAAAAATTCCAATTTGTGGTCAAAGACAGAACGTCTTGGAGAAGCAGAGGAGGAAGGAAAGGATTCTCCGTTTTCCAAAACCTTTGGAATATAAAAAAATTCTCCCAGGCTAGGGAGAGGAGAAAGGGGTGACAGAACCATTGGGCATTGTTTCTTGTGCACCTGAGTTTGTGGACTGAGATTCGTAAATGCTCTCAACTTTGGGATGTTTCCAACCCACACACCCTTCTCTTAGTCTTTCTTGTCCCTCCCACCAGGGGTTGGTGTATTTGTGAGGACATTAGTTTGGTTGCTGTATCAAAAAGACCCGAAATAATAGGGCTTAAACAATTAAAAGCTTATTTCTTTTACATAAAACATCTGGGTAGATGGCCTAGTGCTAGAATGGTGGCCCAATAATTATCAGGGACCCAGACTCTTTCTGTCTTGTTGCTCTGCATTTGTTATCATGCAACTTCAATTTCATCTGCATGTCAGCTGGTAGGAAGAGGAAAGGGCTTCCTATCTGGAGCCTGACTTAGAATTTGTACACTCCACTTCTACTCATTGGCCAGAGTTTGGTCATGTGATGATAAGCTAGCTGCAGGGGAGTCTGGGAAATGTAGTTTTACAATGGGAGTCCTTGTGCCCACTTAAAATTCTACCATTAGTTAAGAAGGGTAGAATAGATGTGGTGGGACAATCAGTCTCTGCCTGTTGGCCAGGACAGCAAAGTTTTTCCTATGTGGTCCAGCCCTGTGGCCTTAGCTCTGTATCTTTGTTTAGGAGAGTTGTAGGGGGTTTCTGCTAAATTCAGGCATAGACATTTTGAATATGGTAGCTTCACTTCAGTTGGCACCTTCAGGGAACAGATAAGGGGCGGACAGGGGCAAATAAGTCATGCCCATGTGTGTGAGCCAGTGAGGCAGGGAGGGTGAGCATGGGGATCCTGCCAGCAGTTCTGCACCCAAAGCAAGTTCCAAGGACAACAGTCTTGCCCACCCTTACCACCTGTCTTCCAGATTGGCAGTGCTGTGCCCACACCCCTCACTCTGGTTATCCCTTCCCCCAACTGAAGCACAACTTACCAACTTTTTTTGGCGTGTAAGGTGGCAGGGGGTTGGAGAAAGGACTCTTCTAGGTGTCATCTGGGATTCTACTCTTCTGGTCCCTGCTCAAATCAGGCAGAAATGCTGTGAGCAGTAGGTTCAGGTCCTCTACCCCATTCACACCCGGTATCTCTTCTTCCTGTCCTCTACCCCATTCTCCTAGTGTAGCCAAAATTCATTCATTCATTTGACAAGTACTGAGGCCCTGCGATGTGCCAGGCAGACAGGGTCCCTGCTCCTGTGGAACTCTCTGCTGGGGAGACTGGCAGTTAGCTAATCACACAAAAGAATACATGTCACAGACTTGATTATGCTATGAAGACTGCCGTCCCGGGGTCATCTTTGTCCTCTGCGTCCTCGATGCCTCACACAGAGTTGGGAGGCAGTCAGTCCTGTTTGCTGGCTGAAGGAAGGAATGAACGCACATGGCGGGGGCGGAGCAGAAGGGCAGAGGGACCAGACAGAGCTGGGTTTGAATCTCTCCTCCTCCTCTGCTAGCTAGTGGTCTTGGGCACTTATCTTCTCAGCGTTCTTCTCTGTGAAATGGGATACCCGGCACTTACCCCCCTGGGTTGCTGTCAGGTTCGTGAGCCACTGTGTACACAAAGGATGGCGAAGTGACTGGGGCCAACAGAAAGGCTCCGGAAACTGGTAAGAACTTTCTCTCAAGTCTCTACACGTTCCCGAGTCTGTGTGTGGTGGCCTCACCACTTCAGGACCCATTTCTCTGGCACCTCCTGTGCCACTCCGCAACTGCTCCAGCCTCAGTCTGTCCCCCAGGGGACCCGACGCTGGGGGCGCAGAGCTGCCCACCGTCCCCCTTTGTCCAGCCCTCCCTCTGGCGGTCCTTGCCTCCATCCCCACCCTTCACCTCAGCCAGCCCAAAGGGACACCCGAGAGGATAATCCAAGCTGGACTTTTCTGGAATTTGTGGAAAAAGGCCCCAGGCTGGTGAGGCCCGGGTGCCCCACGCCCCTGGGCCCGCCTGCTCCGTGAAGAAGGGTCCTGCTACCTTCCATTTTCCCAGCCAGGAGGCCCTCGTTCCCACATTACCACATGAATGGGGCACAAGCCCCCCGTCCACTCGAGCAAACAATTTGGCTAGCAAATTGACATAATTACAAGAGACAGAGAGGGAAGAAAGACACCCCCAGCCCCCGGGCCCCCTGGCGGGTGGTTCCCGCTGAGTTCCCCAGGCTTTGTGGGCCCGGTGCTCAGGGCTGATTAGGAACCTCGTGGCCTTTTCAAGAGCCCTAAGTGATTGGTCCCCTTAATCTGATTACAATTTGCAGAGCCCCTCCAGCCGCCTCTGAAGGGCTGTTCTCAAGCACCCTGCTCCATCGTGGGCGAGTACACACACACACACACACACACACACACACACACACACACACAGACTCACGCACACGCACACACGCACACTTAGCGCCCATTCGGGCCTGCCGGGGGAGGGGCTGCGCCAGTTTGCTCACCAGGCCGCACCTCCTCCGTCAGGGACCTCTAAGTCATCCAAGTTGCTGCCCCCAGGCCCCATTTTCTTTGCCCCAAACCTCAGACATGCACGGGGCCTGCCCCTGCCCTGGCACACAGGGTTGCCAGTCTGTAGGGAACCCGCACAGACACAACACCCAGCCGGGGCGTGTGTGAGCACACCTCCCAGTCACCCGCCCCCAGCGTCCGGGACAAGGCTGCCTGACCCCAGCAAGGGCAGCCTCTCTCCACAGCAGCGGCATTTCTGGGGCTCCTCGTCCCAGGGGATTAGCCCCAGCAGGCAGCCTGGACACAGCTCAGGCACAGGCCGCTGGCCGCTCCCCCCTTGGGCTCCAGGCGCTGCGGTCAATGGCCTCAGCCCTCCTCTCCAATTTGTAGCTCTTAATCCCCGGGGCTGAGCCACAATGGCTCCTTTTCCAGTCCCCGATCCTGGCTCTCACGGACCCCAGCCTGGCCTCCCACCCCACAGGGCGCCCCCACTGGGCAGCAGCTCAGAATGGGGGTGGGGCGGGGGGCAAAGCTGGGGCCGAGGCAGAGGGGGCCCTGCCTTGTTAGCCAGTCACCCCTGCCCCAGGAGATGGAAGCTGGGCATGTGTGCGGGGATGGGGAACGTGTGTGGGGCCCTCTAGAGTAACGGCCGGCTTGCGGCACCCCCACCTTTTGGCCACCCAGCCTGGAGGGCCTGAGAAGGGAGTCCCATTCTCCACCTGGGAATCCCGCCCTTTTCTCAGACTATCCCGAAGGCCTTCATCTCTGGACACCAGCCTGGGGCCAGGAGCCAGACAGCAGGGCATGTGGAGCCCAGGTTCACACACTGGAGTCAGTGGCCCGGGCTCAGGTGGCGCATTTGATAACACTCGTGACCTTGAATGCGTTACTTCTCCTTTCTGGGCCCAGTTTCCCCACGTGTAAGGTGGGAAAGCTGCACCCTCTCTCTTGGGGTTGCTGGGAGGTCAACTGGTGTAGGGCACGTCGGGCACAGTGCCCGGCAGCCAGTGTCACTGCGGGCTGCTGTCAACATGCATGTCAGGAACGGGAGGGCACTTGGAGGACAACTGCAAACACAGATGGAGGGACCTTCCCTGGGTACGTCCCTATAGCCCTGGTGGAAAGAAAGTCCAGGCTCTGCAGGGTTCCCGGGGACCTTTACGGTTGAGTTTTCCGGGACAAGCCCCACAATTGCCAATGAGACTTACGCCTGATCACCTGACCCAGCACTGGTTTGGGAAACCGGGACCTCAACCCAGATCTCTCCCAGGGAGGGGCTGGGCGTGGGCTCCCAGTGCAGCCTCAACATTGCCTGGGGCAGAAGCGACTGCTTGACCCCAGTCCTCCCTGCAGCCCCCAGGACCCAGGTCATGTGATCAGGCAGAGGGCTCACCCCAGATCCCTCAAAGCCTAGTCCTAGTTGGGCCTAGCTCTGTTGGCAGGGCCGGGCATGGGGGCTCGGAGGCCCTCCTCCACCCTGCACCCCTCCTGCACCAGGCGCCCTCCATTCAGGCGTGCAGGGCTGGGCTGGGCGGCTCTGCTGCAGAAGGAGGCTGGGGGCGAATCAAAAGAAAACAAACCCACCGCTCCCCACCCCGCCACGCTGCACCCCTGCCGAGCGCCGTGCACCTCCTCCTTTGT